AGAGAGAGAGAGAGAGAGAGAGAGAGAGAGAGAGAGAGAGAGAGAGAGAGAGGGGGGGAGGGAGACACAAAAAGAGAGAAGCATTTCAAGGATGGTTCATCATGTCTGTAGCCGTGACACTTTTCAGATATGTCTTTGTAGTGCTGAGCAGAGATGACCCGCTGTGCCTTTCCCTTCATTTCCACTGTCTTTAGAAGAAAAGAAACAGAGCAAAGAAAAACAAGCTTTCTACAGGTAACATACCAACAAGGAAACACTGAATAAATGGCTTTGAAGTTGTGTGAGGTGCTCTTTTCCCGACATGGCTTCATCCTTCTCATCCTCTTTAGAGAGGAAAATAACAAATGAGCACAAATGGAATGATTAGACCTTTAGTTGATCAGATTTCACATAAGCAATTAAAGCTAATTTTGCATTGATGTTTAGTATAGAACTGAAGCTCTCAGATATCTTGTGCAAAAGTATGTGGCACTGATTCACAAGATAAGCATCACATCCTACAACAGAGAGCAATTTCACAGTGGCGACCACATGGAATTGCAAAAATTAATAAAGATACAGAAGCTGACAGAGGCCAAGCATTATTCATTTTCTGTATTCTTGTGATCTTGACATAAAGAGCACAAATAAAAATCTTGACAAATGCTATATTGACAAAACAAGAAAAAAAAATGTATAGCCTCACAGACAGACTAATATATTTGAGGCCTGATATTAGAAAAAAATGTCTTAGTCATTATAATATTAGTCATAGGCTTTTTCCATATCATTAAAAACGTCTATTGCAAGTTTGTAATTTTGTCTGCAGTAGACGGTCACATACTCCCACAGGGCCATTCACACAGGAACCGTTCTTATTGCAGAAATGCAGACAGACATCTTTGGTCTCGCCATTCTGTTAGCGTTATTTTTGCTATAATTAATCACACTAAATGAATGTGTTAAATTGACATCCTTAACATTCAAGTTTTAGTTAAAGCATTTTCTTTCACCCATAACAAAACCCAAATGAAATTTGATGGGATTTCACATGGCAGAATGTCACCTCCCTCCAGCAGTTTCAGACATTCAGCACTGAAGGCTCCTGTAAAAATTAAGTGAAATGAACCTGTTCTGCTTTATTGAAACACGTTATGATGCTGCTCCCTTTTTATCTTGGCACTTACATGCCCATTTCAGACAAACTGCCATTAACTGAAAAGGACAAGCACAGTCATTTGCAAGCTAGAGGCAAAATCATTAACAATGAGAAAGAGACTGGAAAGAGAGGGAGAGAGAGACAGCCACTAAATAGTTCACGACGTAAGGTACATATCATCTTACTATTATGTAACCAGAAGCCTTTGTGTAATGGCACATTTAACAGCTTCACCTTGAGAATGGAAAAATCCACAGAGGCAAACAAAAGCCTAGTGTACCTTTTGGCATTCTGGAGAGCGGTGGGTCACACACACACACACACACACACACACACAGAGAGAGAGAAACGTGTCAGACACGCAAAAAATAAGATGCAATCTACACAACACAAGTAAACAACATCCTGCAGTAAAAGTGTCAGAACACAAGCAGCGCTCTGACACTAGTGCATTTGAAAAGAACTTACAGCATTCTTCCCCTGAATCTGACAGGAACTGCATGTTTTGCATTCGATGCATTGCCATCGCAGGGCCTTGACATTTGCAGTCAAATCAGCAGAGAACTTCAGGCATGATGGATGGCCTTTGAGGAGAAATGTGGAATAAAACAAACAGGCTTTAGAGAGTCGCCAAACATGCTCAATTAAAAGAGCGACATTACCTAATCCTTTAACTTTGGGCAGGAAACACAAAAGCCCTTGCTGAAACATTACAGGATAAATGTTAACAGAGACTTAATCAAGCAGAGAGAGAACATCAAAACGCAACAAATGAAAGATTCCCCTGACCGTGGATCAGTTAAATATTTACACGTGGCATCAACAATGCGAAAAGCCATGCGTGAAGACTTTCCAAAATCGGTGTCTAAAAGCACTGTATTATCAAACACTTCTGAGCGGCTAATTAAGGATAATTTGGCCTTAACGAGGCAGAAATGGTACGATCGTACACCGTAATGGCAGTCGATCCGTTATAGTCATGTAAAAGCATACACTCCTATCCCTGAGGGCTGCGAACCAGCTGCGGTTTACAGTGGGAGCACATTTTCTATACTTTCATGAACACTTAATGAAAACCACCTCTGCGTTGTTAAGTCAAACTCAGTCATAAAAATGTCACCGGGAGAACAATTCCTTGTGGCATTTCAAAATCACTTTTCAAAACAAATTACGACATGAGAGCAGGTAATTTAACAGGAACATGGCAATTCTGTCTGGAGGAGGGAAAAAAATAATAAATTAAAGTAAAAGAAACAAGCAAGCGAACTTGAAGCAGGGGGAAAAACTGCATACCTTTCAGCTTGAATCCATCTGTCATTGTGTAAAACCCTTCTGCCAAAACTTCTACAGAATAGACAATTTTTATAGTAAAAAATAAAAAACTATTCTTTTGTTTGCCTTCAAGCATCTTGAGATATTTTACCACATTTCTCAAACATACATCAAGAACTACCCAAGTTTATATATATATATATATATATTTCACATCATACATTCATATATAGCCAATATTCTCATCATTTTAATGTTGATTAGCATAGGGTTTAACAGTTTTTTTTCTTCAATATTCACCGATGACCATTTTTCTCCTCGTCTCATCATCTGTCTTGACATTTCCTGGGCTGTTTCAAAGATTTATACATCATTCTATATACATCATCAAAAAATTAAACTGACTGAATCTGGGCTGAAAATATGAGCCGCAAATTAAGCAGATTGAACAACAGAAATTTAGACATGGAGAAAACGTAGTCTGCATGCAAAATAATCCAGGTTTAAACATATTTAATGCAAACACTGGCTAATGAAGATGATATCTTGGCACACACCCGCTCTGATGCGAGATGATAAAAGACATGCAGATAAATGCAGATGGACAACAAAGTAGTGCTGAGTGGTATACTGGTTCATACCGAATACCGGTGTTTATTTTTGTTATGATATGAATTTTTAAAATACCGCAATACCGGTGTATGTCGCTTAAACAACGTTC